GAACTCCTCTAAAAAAATCTTGACCGTTTTGTTTGTGATGTTTACGAAAAGAACTTACGTGTATGGAAGAATACCTTTTTTGTTATCAATAATCTCAAGTGTGAAGCAATTCCGATAGTGCATTTTGTCAAGTCATTTGTGGATTTATTTCAACTATAATCAAATATGTATCAAAACTGTATTTTGCTTGTGTATCGCATGTTATAGGTCACCGTGGTACAATGTAGAAAGTTATTAAAAGCCTTGACATGATGAAATGTAAAACAAGCACGGTCTGATTAAGGCACACCGCATAAAAAAAATATGATAGGCAGAAACAATTGACCACCAGTGAATAACAGGCTCATGGCTTGAGATGGGCCCATGAAGAAAGTGGGGTTCAACATGTTTAGGAGCGGTAAACCCGCAATCCTGTACAGTGGCGAAACAGCATATCAGTTGAATTGAACTTACCTTATTATGTCGTTACAAAGCACTACACACAAACAGATAACTAAAAAAATTAAAGGCATCAATTAAACAAACTATTTGGTACCAGTTGCCATGTTCAAAAGTAAACATCCAGCCGATTATATTTGAAGACATCATAAACAGTCTGAGAAAGTCATGACCTTGTATGAAGCCAGTGAATAAGGTCATTCTGTATAGTAGAAGGGGTAGATAATAATGCATCCAAGTTTAATGGGAAGTTTTTTCATAACTTTGCTATTACAATGCATCCGAATGTCCCGGAAATAAAACAGACGTCATACAATAAGCAGTGACTGAGATTCGTAAATACACAAATTTAAAATAACGAAAAGGTATGTACTCATTCTGCTCATATATATTTTTTTAGATTTTTATGACGTCTATTTTAACGATCTTTAGAACGTCTATATAACATTCCATGATCTGTCATCAGGGTGTCTAGTCAACATTAAACACAATACTATACACAATAACAAACTAAATATACACCAGCATTGAAATAATAAAAATTGTAACATTTTTAGCACTGCTATGTTCTTAATCATTAGAAATAATTTGATGTAAAATAGTTTCCGCATTCTGAAAGTGTACATTTCCTTTATAAACAGGATAAAGGACGTGAGATTTTACAAGAAACTGTATTGTACTCATTGACAGTAACGTGGCCAATATCTGATAAAAAAAAGTATATTAATATCGTAATACATTAACCAAATCATCTAAATCCATCTAATTATTACCTGTACGTTTTATCACCTGTATAAGATAATCATTTGCGGAATATATTCTTAAGGCACTGAACATTAATGTGAACCATGTGCTTATGTAACAGGATTATAATATTTTAATTTCAATAGTGAATTTTTAAAGCTGCATTTATAATGAATTGAGCACTTACATTTATTTTTGGGATTTATTCAAAATGTAACCTTAACTTTTATTGTGATAATTAAGCAATATTTTTCATAACCAGATGTATTTTAAAATTGCACCTACATTTGATGACACAAGAATTTTGTTTAATACTGGATTATAAGAACATTGATATCTGCATCGGGTGAGTGCATTGTACATTTAACAGTCAAACCTTTTTCTATAAAGTTCATAAGATTAAACTCCAATTGTAATGACATAATGTAAACAAGTCCAGCAAAGACAAACTAAATAAAGAAAGTCGTTCTTAAAAATTTCAATAAATTGATTAGCTTGTAAAGTAGAAATGTGTTGAAAGAAAACGTACTTATTTTATCAAATCAACTAAACCTGTAAAAGTATGGTCCCCTTGGATTAATTGTTTGATTGATTTTTGATTTCTTTACATCCAATGTTCTGAATAAGAGCAAAATAAATCTAATAGACAGAGGCCTTACAGTTGGAAAAATCTGATGGAGGGTAAGAAATTTGAACTGCCACCGGAATATCAGGGCAGCAAGCAACCTACATGTATTTAACCCTTCGCAAGTGATTCCAAACTTTCTGTGATGTGCTAAATAGGATATCAGATTTAACATCTGATTGTGGACTAGATATGGCTTCTTATTTATTCATCCAGCCAACCAAACAGATAGCCATTGCAAAATTTGAATATACATGTAGTTCTTTACTCCACGGTAGCATCAGGGGCGGAAAAAGGTTTGCCTGATTTAATTTATTTGAAGATGTTTAAATGGGTACATTTATTTCAGCTCATGGTTTTTATATCAGATAAAGTCAATGTTTAATAAACGATTGATAAAAGTAAAAATTAACATTAATTTATTTATGCAAGATGGTGTAGTTGTAAAAAGGAGACACACTCAATAAAGAATTACATAATTATAACTTTCATAGATACTTTTGATTAATCAAGAATTAAAGACTGTATGTATTTAAAGCTCCTGCAAATTTTGCATGTATGTTCAAAAATATCATAAAACATTGAAGGAAAAATGCCTATTCTACTCACGAAGCATGCACTAACTGTTGAATGATGCAAGTGTAATTTACAATGAAAAGGCAGACGGTAACAGCAGTGTAGAAAATAATTAGACGGGAATTTAATCATGGTCACGCAAAGTAGCAAAAACTATCGAGTGTAAAGTCCAAATTACCTACATACAATATTTACCAATATAATTTATGCCTGAATCATACCTTTGGAGTACAGTCATTTAAACGACAGAGCAAATTTAAAATACTGGATCACAATTCAACATCAACTATCAGTATGTCCAGCTAATTATGTAAAGTAAAGTAAAGTAACGCAATTTTGAAAGAAACAATATTTATTACAAACAAATGTCACTTAATTATTAGACCATTACGTTATATGACCTTTTTAATAATGTACATGTACTCGTTTGACCAATTATTATAGGACGAATTAAACAAATACAAAAGTGATCATTCGCAAATATTAAAGTGGCTTCTACTTTAATTAAGCTGATACATGTATCGTGCAAAAGGTTAATGACCAGAACTTATGTAAATTACCATGAACATGAAACAGTATAAATAAAAAAGTAACTTTTCCATTCAATTCCTATCCACCAGACACTGTGGCGTGGGTAGGAAAAACAATAAATTCCATATGAATTCAGTAAAATAAGAAACACGTTAACATAGAAATTTCACTTAAGAAATCATGGGCTAGTGTGAACATGTACACTTTCGAATATTTGTATTTAAGCATATTATTCTATTTTTAATACGACGTCGTTTTACTAATTGTGAGATACGTTATCTTCTTCATCTGTTGACAAACATAGTACATGTATGACTACCTGGTGTTTTGTTTTAGTTAAAGAAAAAAATATAAAGTATGTGTATCCAATATCTATTATTATGTTAGCTATCCATGCTGATTTTTTTTTTCATTGTAATTATATATAAATACAAAACTTTAAAAACATTGATTTCATTTTAACAATCATATTAAGTTACTTGTTCAAATGTAGCAAAGAAACCTATATAATGATCTTGATTTTCATGTGTATTTTGCCCAGACACCATAAAACTTAAATGTCCATGAACTCAGAAAGAAGGTTATTTTCTTATGACTCGTGATATTAAAACTCATGTCCACTAGGCAATGTTATGATACGAAACATATCAAAACTGGAAGTAAAATCCTATTGTAAGCTATCAAGTCATTCAATGTTTTTTAATGTTATTTTATTTAATCCATGTATATTAATTAGAATCATAACATTAGAAACCTTCATGATTTTTGCTTCTTGAAAGCTAGCTGAAAGCAAACAACAAAAAAGACATAAATCATGTTTCCAAAGACAAAAGTACACAGTTACACAGTATTTGTAGTGGTGCAAGCAACATTGCAAAATTTTGGAGTATTTCGATATCCGTACTACGTCTATGTATAATATATTAATATATACTTTGATGTTCATACTACATATGTTATATATAGTTGCCACAACTGCAACAGTTATGTTACGATATTTCTCCACTCGATTTCAAGCGCGAGGCTTTAAAAATTTAACTGTTTAGAGGGGAGAAATATCGTAATACCCGAGTTATAGTGGTGGAATCTGTTTCTCTAATGATTTTTATCCTTCGTTTTCAAAGATTTGCAGAATTTTGTGTTTATATGTGACGTCACCAGGCAAAGTCGCCTTTTTTCATGACGTCAAAATAGGGAAATGCAGAAGAAACTAAGAAAATTTGACGGCATAATTAAAATGTCAACCAATCATTTGCTGATAATTCACTAGTAAGCAGAAATATTTTTCAGCACCCAAAATTTTATCTGAGTTATCTGACCCTTTAATGATGTTGATAATGTTCAAATATTTAGCTTCAAAAATATTTTGTTGTCCCTTGAAAACGACTGTGTTTGAGCATATGAAGTAAATACGTAACAAATCTATTGAAAATTATCATCAAATTTTCTCAACACATTTCAGTCAAATTTTAAAATTATTTTTTCAGTTTCCTCGTACATATTAGTTTTTCGTCTTTCTTATCCTCTTTTAGTTCAGGTAAAAATACAAGCACTGTTTCCAACTGAAATATAATTTGACCTTATAACTAACGTTTAATTATAAGCAGCAGTGATTGACGTAGCCATAAAGATAATTAGATCACCCCCAGTTTTTGGTGGGGTTCGATTTGCTTAGTCTTTAGTTATCTATGTTGTGTCTTATGTACTATTATTTGTCTGTTTGTCTTTTTCTTTTTTAGCCATGGCGTTGTCAGTTTACTTTTGATCTATGAGTTTGAATGTCCCTCAGGTATCTTTCACCCTTCTTTTATGATCCACCATTTTCTACATAAGATAATATATGTATCAAGTCAGGAATGTGACAATGTTTTTTTCATTCATTTGATGTGATTGAGCTTTTGATTTTGACATTCGATAAAGGTCTTTCCGTTTCGAACTTTCCTGGAGTTCGGTATTTTTGTTATTCTACTTTATTATGACAAAATGCAGTATAAAAAAGATTATAATATTAAAGAAATATTATGGCTTAACTAAAGAATACTAAATTAAATCTATTTCTGTCGTATGTTCTTTTATGTACCCTTAGTTAGTCAGCAGACCGAGATTTCAAGTGGGAGAATAGATGTCCTTTATACTAGACTCTAGGACACAAAGTATCATTACCTTGTCTAATTTAATGAAAACTGTAAGTATAATGGTCTTATATCATATATTAATTGTTATGTTTGGAGAAATGATCAATATATAAAGATGAGGAATGATTGCCTATTACAAAAATATGCAAGTGCGACCAAAAGACCTTATACCAGTTCTTTGGTAGCTTTTATTGGTAAGGATCTGTTCATAACTACTTAGACTTGCGTTGATTATGAAATTGCAAAATAGTATTGAAATCTTTATTCTTATCTTTATATATAAACATCAGGAGATGTAGTATGAGTGCCAATGAGACTAGCGAACAGAGTTCAAATAACAAAGATAAAAGCAACTAAAGGTCATTCAACAATGAAATCACATATACCGTATAACCAGTCATAGTACCCCGACATGCAATAAGTGAAACAATTCCATCGAGAACACTTATAGCCTAATTCATTAATAAATTTCTTGTTGACGATTCTGTTGCATTGCCGTGTACTTCGCATAGCTCTTGTATTCAAAATACATCGCATAATTTTCAGTATTCGATGAATCATTTTCGAATAATGCACATATCAAACGTCTATGCAGTGACGTTAAAGAAGTTCTCTTAAACTGTCTTAGTTTTTAAATATTCAAAGTTGCTATGAACCTTTTTTGTTTTGTTTGATGAAACTAAGGAACCTAAACGAATGTATAAAACAAGTCCTATTGTAACATGCTTTGTAAGCCTTTCTCTCTCAGATTAGTTCATAAAATACTCTCACTGACGACAACGAACTTTAGTGGTATGACACATAAACTTAATTTGTATGTGGGTCTCATCACTCTACAGTTTGCTATAAATATGGATTTGCGAGGTAACTATCAGTTTAATTTTCACCAGTAAAGCAAATTGCAGATTCTTATTGAGCAAGCTCTCTTACAGGAAAGAATCTATTTGCCGAGCGGTAACGGTTAATATACTTACCCTTTTTAAATTAAAAACTGCTGCTACGAAGGTTAGATTTTCGCACATGTCTGTTATCTTGTTCATAACTATATCATACACGATTTGGAGGGGCAGATTAATTAATTTGCGACAAGTTAATTATTTTCAGTTCTAAATTATCAAGCCAGCCTATTCATTTCCCAAATTATCCTGTCTCCCAAAATGTCATGCAGAATTGTCATTTGTAATGTGATTGACTCGATTAAATTTTTAGACCACATTACGTTTTTTTTGTACTTACACATTACGCACTGTATATTTAATTTTTGGAAAGTAAGAAATGAACAAAAGCCTAACTCAAAATGATATTCCAACATATAAGTACGTGTAATAAAATAACGGATAGACTGTTGTTCATATCTAAATAATAAGAAAACCTTATCAACAGTTTGACAAATTTACTGGTGATTTGCAGTTTTGTTTTTAACGTAATAGAAGAAAAGAGGATATTTTCAACTTGGTTTCACACCCTAATCGCCTTTTCTGTTACTTAATGACTTCAGAATTTAAGAATGAAGAATGCTTTTAAGTATGTATTTATTATGCTTTCAGTTTAATTCATGCATGGCAAAGGGCGACAACCATCAGTTTAGAAACGAAGTTTTAATAATACTAGTAATGAATTCTATTGTTACAACAAAAGGTAAGTCAATCAATGTTTGCAACACAGTCATGTTACTAAAGAAATGTGGTAAAAGAGGAACACGATTACAGGATTATATCTATTAAATATTCGTTTCCTAATGAACTTCTGAGGCAAAATGATATACTTGTAGTTGTTTTCAGCTTTCCTACGTTAGATAGTGATATTGTTTATATTTTGGTCTTCAGCTAGAGTTACAAAGGAGAACAAACGAATATTATCTTTAAAAACAATCAATAAATTATAACCGTCAAGACAAAACGAAACCTGGAATACATACATAAATAGAATGTTACGAATCTCGAGGCATTTTTAATGATCCGTTAGTACACGTCAATATAATGTGTGTTATGATTTAAACTTTATAAGCTCTTCGCACCAAATAAAAAAAAAACTGTGAACGCAGGTTTTTGAGTATTTGCCCTGACCTCTAACGACCATTTAAGAACATGCTACAGACATTATAGCAATCTCGGACTTGTTTCAAGTTGTGCGAATACGTGGAGTACTACTGCATGACATTCAATATCATAACAGTTGGATTGCCAATTAGACAAATATCCACCCAGGACCAAACGAAGTTCATGCAGGCAGCTATAGGGAGTCTGCACGACCTTCAACACAAAATTAAACACATATACCGTAAAGTCAGCTATAAAAGGTTCTGGTATGACTAAATGTAAAACTATTCAAACGAGAATCACAACGGCATGATATATAAACAAAACAATAAAAAAACCAACTATGAAAGAAAGAATGTTTCTGTTGTTCCGTTTCCTCGTATATTAGATATGTTTCCCTCGGTTTTGGATTGTGACCCGGATTTGTGTCAGTTCAATCGATGAAAATGACTTTTGAACAGCGGTATACTACTATTAAAATTGAGAATGGAAATGGCGAATGTGTCAAAGGGACAACAACCCGACCAAAGAGCAGAAAACATTATTGCCTTTATTGATATCTATGAATGAATTCGAATTTAGTAATGTTTTAATATCCGAATAACAAACATGAAAAACTCAAAGTAACTACCAATGCAAAAAACATGAGATGCATTGTTTATTCATTAGTTGGTATTGGGTTTTGTACTAGGTTTAAATAACCTCAAGTACTCTTAGATCGGTAAGTTGTGTCATTTGTCTTTCTGTAATTTGTTTTCGTGCTAATTATATCGCATAAACAAAAGTTCAGTAGGTTATATTTTTTACCTGTCCGGCCGTCTGACAGTCCGTACGTCCGTCCTTCCGTTCGTCAGTTCATCCTTTTGTCCTTCCACCAGTCCGTCTGTCCGTCAGTAACTCGTTTGTCTATCATTTCGTTCGTCAGTCCTGTTATTGTCATCATATCTTCTTTAAAACCGCACCTCAGAATTTTATAAAACTTTTACAGATAATAAGGTCATTCTATGAGTAATGTCCTTTTGAATTTATAATTTTGGCCTAGATATACTACTGCAAAAGTTTAGCCTCTATTGCTGTCTACCTGATGTGTTTTCCGTTCATTGTTTGAGTATATAACAGGACGATATTTTTCTGTGTTTTTTTTTTAATTGTCTGTATGTCATACCGGGGCCTTTTCCAACTTACTATATGGCAATGGTGTTGCTTGTGTTTTATGACCCTGCAGTTACCTGTAATTGAGCTCGTCATGTTAATGAATTCTATCGCATTTCGTACATGTACATATAAACAAGTCTTCAAATATCAAGGAGGCATTAAAAAGTAAAATGTTTGCTTAAATCTTATTTGTAAAATAAGATTTGTAAAAATTATGAATTACATGTTACAGTGAAATGTAATCATCAAACACTGGTACCGTGGATTATTATTATTCCGTAAAAATAGTTTCTTAATGTGGAAATAAACATGAATTTAATGAAATGAAATAATTGCTTGTGTTTGTTAATGGCACAACCATCTTCTAACAATTGATATACATCGAAGTCTTGAACCGGTCCGGTGTTTCTCGATTTTACATATCATTGATCTATAAGATGCAGGTTATCTCTAAATTGATTTTATATTACATTATCTATATGATGATCATTTACAAAGAAGCATTTGTTTTTGATCTGTAAAACGAAGGCGGATTATACCAAAGTAAGAATAAAAGCTAAGAGTCAACTAATGACAAAAAGGTAAATTCGACAACAGGTACATGAGATAGTTTACTTACCACTTCATGCAAAATTAAAAACTGATAAAACGTGTACCGGCAGTCACACAATAAAGATAGATATTGCAAAAGAGATAGCTTAAATTACTCGGCATAAACTGATAACGTTTAACATTAAATAAAATAAAAGTATGAAATGTCGAACATTTAAAGTCAATACGATTTAAAGGTAGATACTGCAACATGTGCAACATCATTTGTTGTATATAAGTTAATTATTCGATTTTAAAACCTTAAAAATGATAAACTTCATTTGATTCGTGTCGTTTTTTTTATGGTATCTCACATTCATGCTGTATTTGTTTAAAAACTAGATAATATATGCAATGCCTTTTGTACTTCATTTTTTCAGGTCTTGTCATATTGGAATTAGATTCCAAACCTGCTATATTTGGGACAAATTTTAGGTTGAAGTGTATCATATCTGAGGTTTCTTGCTGCAGTACATTTACAAGAAAATGGACGAAGGGAGATAACTACCACCTGATTGTTATAAATAGTCTATCAAGCAATACATCGAAATATAAGGAAGATTTGAATGTTGCCACGAAGACTTCAATTCTGACAATAAGGAATTTAACAAAAGAAGACGTAAACATACCATATGAGTGTACATACGGCTTTGATACAGATAGCAAGTTACTAAGTCTGAATTCGACAGACTTTGAATGTATGTTTTTTTTTTCTTTGGAGACAACCATCTTTAAAAGTTTGTAAAGTAAAACAAAGCAGTTTTTTACAGTATCTTTTGCACAGTTGTTGCTTTTGTCGGTGTTACTACATAAACGTGATTTGTTTTCCTAAAATAAATATAACGAGGTAATGTAAATGTTTAATAAAAAAGTAAAAAGACATGAAATTAAAATTAGTTATGTTAATTGTCCCTCTTAAGTGCCAGTCTTTGTAAGAATCAGGCAATTTAGAAAAAAATCAAAACATTGCCGAAAAAAACCCACCGACCTGACCACCATATTTTGAAGGTACCCTCATCCTGAGTTAGAAGTGGTAGGTCTTTCGTTTCTGCGTGTCTGGTAATTCGAGAAATATCCAGATAAATTTTGGTTAGAATGATAGCAAATTACGGAGTTATCTCCCCTTAATTGTTATTTTCTAGAGCATTTCAACCAAATTATATCTTTAATTACCAGAACAGGGAAAGGAAACGAATGTTATATTCATGGTCCATTATACATTCTGAACTTAAATTAATGTAAAGTTGAGCGGGTTTTTGTTTGTCATGTTTTCACCACTGCCTGATTCTTATGCAGATTGGCACTTAAATGCTCATGTTTAAAGATTTAAGAGTAATATAGTTAACAGTGTAATTGACCGAAAAAAAAATGAAAAATAAAAGATTAATATTCGTTATGGAAAAAATTATACGACACACTTATGTAATCATGATTATGAATTGCCATAAAGTATGAATATTACGTTTACATTCTATAACTAAGAAAACACAACATTTTTTTTTTCTCTCTGTAATGTTTAAACATCCGTTAAAGATAGGGTGTACGTGGTTAATCGTAAACAATCCGTTTGTCAACATCACATCGTACACATCTAGATATTATTTTGATTATAACTTCATGTAATATTCAAGAATTGTGTTATGACAACTTGTGAACTTTAATTTGATTTACACAATTTGTAGTTTGACCGTCATATTTAAGTGAAATGTTTACATACCAACCTTTAGTGCATATGATGAATCTTTACAATATGAATGTGTTTGATTATAATAATCTGCCATAACTTTGAAGTTGAAAGCATAATTGATATATGAATATATACGCCAATGAGAAAGCAAACGAATAACACACAAAAAAGACACATATAGATATATACTTACGGTCTTTGAAAATTATAAGTTTTGCACAGTGTACATTATGTATGTCCTATGTCAGGAACCAGTATTACAGTGGTTGTCGTTTGTTACTGTGTATTACATTTTTTTTTCGTTCATTATAATGTACATATACTCTAGGCCTTTTATAGCTTATTGTAAAAGTCCGTACGTTGACCTACGTGTATAGCTGTGTCATTAGGTCTCTTTTAGAGAGTTTTCTCATTAGCAATCATACGACATATTCTTCTTTGTATGTGTCTATACTGATATGTCTTGACAGTATGTTAATCTGTTAATCGTCTGGAAAAGAGAAAATCCTAAGGAATAAGGTTTGAAGCAACAATCAAATATCTGCAATCAATATCTGATTCCGAAGCAACAAAAAAATAAGATATAAAAACCGAGTACTTTGGAGATACATTACTTCTGCGATGAGCTTTTGTCTGGCTGTCATTGTCAGATTTTTTATATCTCATCTTTACTCTTATTTTGTTTCCTCTGGTCTGTATTCATGATCAGTTGCTACAAATGTACTAAAAGAACGCGTAATAAAACTCAGTAGTGGATGAGCACTTCCTGTGTAACACATGCATGATATATTACAAAAGTCACAAGTAAAAGAAAGACCCTTTTTAGCCATATACATGTAGCTCTTCAAATGTTTCAGTTTTTACCCATCATTTGCTTCCAAATTTTCTGCGTTGAGCGTATTTGACGGTGGTAGACCAACAAGAAAACTTGGGAAGCATGAAAGTGATAAAGCACAGTGTGAATCAGCATGATCATGTCTGTTAAGTTTCTGGGAACAAGCTTAAATAACTTCACTTATTACACAAGTATAGATGATTGTTCACAGGAAAATGTCTAGGATAACTAACTGGATTATTAGTCACTGCACATTCATATTTAATCTTTCTTATAGAAGAATAACTGTTCAGCATAAGATGTATCAACTCAGTAGTCACAAATAACATGACACTTAAACATCTTTAACACGTACATCTGTATGTTGAAATCAGAGCGAACAAAACAAATTTGTTGATGTTGTATTGAAGTATTCATTGAAATTGTGTAATTTATCTAGTAAAAGTTAGTATAAACGCTTTTTTAAACCATTTGACATTGGATTATTTTAATCTTTTTTTTTTTATTTTACATTTTCATCTTCTTTTCCTGAATACATATTAGATCATCCTACAGAAGATGTTCCAGTCAAACTACACATTAGCAGAAACCAAATAGCAACGGCCAATGTAAGCTTCAACAAGGTTTATCCAATTCCAGTGTGTTTTGCGACTGATGATGTAAGTTTATCTAGAAAATGAAAGCATTATTGAGAATAACTAATTTGGTAAACTTTTGTCATTTTCATAATACATTATACTGGAATACATCTTAAACTTATTGTTTAAAAGTTTAAGAAATTGCTCTTTAATTTCGTTTAGGCCTCGGTGACCGAGTGGTCTAAGTAATCGAACTACGAAATCACTAGCCTGTCAACACTACAATTTATAGTGGAATCCCGCATGTGGCAAGTGCTCTCCAATCGTAATTGACTAGGTTTTTCATCTTTCTTATCGACGGTCAATGGATTTCTAATGGCACTCTGGTTTCCTTCACTTTTAATAACTGACCGCCACGAAATAGAACAATAGTGCAAAAATTGCGTTAAATACCAAACAAACAATCAGAAACATACATCAGTGCACTGAAATAGTATAAAAGTTGAAACAAAATATATCATAACTCAATATTGAAACTTAAATTTGAAAAGAGACATGTTGTTTCATACGTATGCTGCCTCAACTACAGATATGTTTTTTTTGTATCCGAGAATACGCTAATACCATGATCGTTCTATATATTATTACTAATCAGAATTCCTATGCATACTGGCTGTACTGTCCTTCTTAGTTTTTGTTGATTTAACATCAAAGTGTTTGAATTTGGGAAAAAGAATACATCACAATAGCCAAACCATTTATTCTATAAAAAAGCAATATATTTCTATTGACTAAATGAATGCAACTTTTTTCAAGTTATTTTTTTGTTTGCTTCAATTAATGGCTTAATTATAGATTCGAAATATACATATTTTAATAAAAAAAAATGTATTCCTGCCTGAAAGAAGAGTGTTCTCAGTGTTATTATTGGGTTAGGAAGCTGACTTATAAATTGATAATTTCACAGATTAAACCAAATTTGTAAAACGTGGATCCCTATTAATCATGTTAATCGAAATGACAGCTTTTAAATAGTTGTCATAGAATTGTATTACGGAAATTTGACTGTCATTTATTGATTATAATCTGTATATCCAGTGCGAGTTAGCATAAAGACAATGACTATCTGTACTATCTTCTTTCATAACTTTATTTATGTCATAAGGAATTTGTCAAGAAATACATTTATACCAAATTATTGCAGGGTTCCAACGTCTCACACCACTTATCAGTTGAAAATGAAAGAACTGGGCTATTTTACCGATCAAATCTGCAGTTTCAGTACCAACTGGTAGACAACTGTTATCAAAACATTTCAATCATCTGCACAGTTGGCACAACACATTTGACTGTGGTTAACAGCACTCTACCTTGTTCATCAAGTAAGTATGATTTATATATTATGAAGAAACTTGGTCTTCTTGTTATTGTTACCTATGTCAGTAATTGTGTTTATAGTGCTTGTTTTGTTACCTATGTCAGTAACTGTGTTTATAGTGCTTGTTTTTATTAATTCAACATATTTCATCTGATATATGTATTGAATCTTCCTTCATTTAAGATATAACTCATCACAGTGTGTTCAATTTAAAATGTTATATAATGGTTGTGTTCTATATTTAATGTATCATGATGAGTTATAATCGAATACTATGAAAAACAATATATCTAGAAATAATAACATGAACGAAAAAGCTAACATGATAATTTGTTCCTTTGTTAGCAATTGAAAGTAATTCTTATAAAAATAAACACTATCAATACATGTAACAATATGTTTATTACCTTCTAGAATTAGAACAACGAATGATAGAAGTGGTTGCAATCATAATATCAGCCAGCTGGATACCAATGGGTATCGTAGCGCTTATACTGCTACTTTGTCTACAACGAAAATGTACGTAAAAGATGGATAACACATTCCAAATACTGTTGAATTCTGAAATGCTTAATCTTATTAGAATTCAGCCTTTATGGGCTTACTTTATTAGGGGACTTCGATTGGGTTGTGATTTTGAATTCTGCACACCTTGCAGGTGCAATCAACCCAAATATTTTACTTGACTATGATTGACACTTTTCTAGGCGTAGGTGATAATAACTTGCCGTTATGAAAAAGCCGAAAGTGCCGAAGGCGTGTATTCAATGAGTAACTACAAGTAAATAAAACAAAAATCAGGGTGGTGCTCACAGCAAAACTTTAGACAATCCAAAGAGATCGCCGGTTCAAAACCAAATAGCCCAAACCGTCTAGATCTAATAATAGCGCAAACTTGTTTAAACAAGCCAAATTCTATATGTGAATAAGAAAATATCTGTACCAAGTAAGAAATATGACAGTTGTTGTCCATTCGATTGATGTGTTTGAGCTTTTGATTTTATCCATTTGATTGGGGACTTTCCGTTTTGAATTTTCCTCGGAATTCGGTAATTGTTGTGATTTTTCTTTTTCTCAAGTCCGGGCCTGTTATTGAATGTTTGCCGTTCTTTGCAGTTTGACATATTTGCTTTTTCGTTAATTGTGTTGTATAGTTTGTTATTATGTTGTTCTATTACACCACTTTCCCAGGTAAGTGCAGGCTTGACATCTTCAAGCTAATAGTAGTTTTACACCGCTACATTTTGGTATGTGTCTGTCCCAAGTCAAGAACATGTAATTCAGTGGTTGTCGTTTGCTAGTGTATATCATATTTGTAAATCAGACCACTTCTTTTTTTTTTATTTAAAACCGTTTTTTTCGATTGAAGTTATAGACGATTGAATGGATTTCCTTTTAGCAATTATTCCAGTTTTAATTAATACTGTCCTATTTATTTCAAATATTACTTAAATTTTGACAATGACCTATGCATTATTGTCGGCTTATTCGTTTAAAATAATCCTTTTACATGACATTTTTTTTGCGAGTGCTAGAGTCATACTGTCTGGTTTTGATAATTTCATTAAGGTTGAAATAAGAAAAAAGAGTTGTGGTATAATAACCAAGATACCATATTATCATAGATAGATATAGGAAGATGTGGTATGAGTGCCAATGAGACAGCTCTCCATCCAAGTTACAATTTATAAAAGTAAACCATTATAGGTCAAAGTACGGTCTGAATAACGTGCATTTAAGTAATCAAAAGTTGTGTAAGCCCATTAGCAATGAGACAAAAAATAACAAAAAGTCAACTATAAATGTTCTTGAAATGGTTAAATTTGAAAGAATTCAAACAAACCGACTAACGACGAACAAAACAATAAACGGAAAACAGATAAAACAAACAGAACCCAACGACAACATCTGATAACAAGTTTTTACTTGAGAAAAGCAAATATAAAACTCATGTTAAAGAGTCAGCAGTAAATGTTTCACTGCTTTCGAATATCAAAATAATGTATGCATGTTAATACATGTAGCAGATTAGTGATTGTTTTTGTTTGATTATTCTGTCTTGTTCTTAATTTACAGCTATCGGTAATGTATAGACATGACATTGTTCAAAACTGAGAGTTGCCCTTCAGAGACCTATTCGGTTAATTTTTCGTTGGGTTGATGTCTCATTTACGTTCATTCACATCTCCTTTTTCATATATTATATCGCATGTCATTAAGTAAAAAAAATCATCATGAATATTCAAGTCTATTGCATTGCCTTCGTCTATTTGGTTGTCATAAACTTGGTATATGAAGGTTATTGAAATAATTGGCAGCTTCTATGATGTTAATTGTCATATATATGACTTTACAAAAAAGGACGATTCAAACATGATAGCAAGGCGCGTTGTTACTGCACATCCAAGTATTACATATACCAAATCGGAATTTTTCTTCACGATACATGTATAACAACATTTGTACAGTATTCTTTTTTTCCATTGTTAGGCTAGATAGATAAGAAAATAAAGAACAAAACATCATTAAACATGTTAAACTTTTGAATGAAAACCTGGAAGCTACTCGAAAAAACTCGAACCGTTATCACGAAAACTGCGCCCGACAAAAATATTAATTCATTCCAATACGAGAATACAATGCGTCTATGAACCACTACTCAGATATTCAAACTACGCAAATACTAGTTTAGACAGATTTAAGACTGACCATGTTTTGAACCTCTTTTGCCTTCTTTTGAACATAGCATTTGCTACACAGAAACCTTTCATCGAAACAAACACACCCTTTAAAAGACAGCCATCCAATCTCTCCCCCCCCAAAAAAAAAATACCCCCAAAAAAATAAAACTCAAATACTCATGGAAAAAGTTGTGACTGAGTTACACAAGCTAATCTGTATTCAGAGTAACATACTGTGGATTCATTATTATTCGTTGGATACCAATTTTCGTGGGTTTCGTGGGTACAGTCGAACCACGAAATCAAATGTTCAACGAATAACAAATTTGCTATAGGCTTTGGATGCAGAGATTGACAAAACAACGAAATCAAATATCAACGAAAATGTCAGTTTTCCTTAATACACGAAAATTGATACCCACGAAAAAAAAAATGAATCCACCGAATACAATATGTAACTATGCCTCATATATTTTAATTACAAGACATAAACTTTTTGCAATAATCTAAAATCAAGAATAATATTATATGGTATCATTAGTAATCAAAACAATATAACATTTTGATCATATAATGTAATAACACAATAAATATTTATATAAAACAAGGTATAACGTTTCAAAAATTTCACCAAAAGTGGTGCTTAAAAGTGGCATTAAAACACCAACAATCAATCAATCAATCTGAAATTTTAAAAACTCATGTCGTCAAAGTTTTCCTGACTTTGATGCATAATAATAATCAATAATGCTTCATCATACATTTGATCTCAATAAATGGCATGCATCAACGTAGGTCCAGATTCAACTTATAACCTTACTTTCCTTTTTTTACAGTCAACATTATGAAACAGACTTTTAAAAACGATTTCATGGAATGCTGGACACAATAAACATGATTACCAGAAAGTATCAAGAGCTGAATTGGATATTCTCTGTTCTTTATTTTCAGTATTTTAAAATAAATAATTTTTGTTGACATTCAACAACGTACTAGTATATACTTGAGGAAATATCTTCAGACAATAAAAATGAAAGACAGAAGCGTATTTTATGATAACGTAATAAAACAAAGTTAATTTTAAACAAATTAGCCTTTTGGTCTTTCCTTTTTTCAGTTTTTTATCCAATATGAATATTTTCTGTAATAGGCTTTACATTTGTCATTTCGGGGCCTTTTATAGCTGACTTTGCGGTAGAAGCTTAGTTCATTGATGAAGGCCGTACGGTGACCTGTAGTTATTAATTTTCGTGTCATTTGGTCTCTTCTAAAGAGTTGACCCATTGGCAGTCATACCACATCTTCTTTTTTTTATATTTACAATGTAATTTGATGAAAAATCGTATTAAAAACCAATTGTTTCATTAACATTTATATTACATTTAAGTCCAACCCTTAACCAATAACAATTTGAAATATAACTCGTTACTGGTTATTCATCATGTCAGGGGAGCGCTTTTGTCTATTCTTATAAAAAAAAATTCCTGACTTTGTTCTTTTTAAATTGTTAGGAAAACCGAAATCAATATAGTCCAGTCAAACTAAGTTTGAACCTAAAACTAATTACAACAGAAAATGTTTTAGTTCTTATCTATAGCATTGAGCCCCAAATATACATAGAAAAAAGTCCCATAAAATCTAACTTGAGAAAAAACTCAAATTTTTGCATTTTTAATTTCTTATGGAAATTAACATTGGAAAGGGAGATAACTCCGCAAAAATTAGTTTTTTTGTCAGTTTTTGGTTGATTTTCTCAAAATTCATGTAAAGTATGATTCTATGATGGGGTTATAAGTTCGTATTTAAATATATTATATAATATTCTGCTCATGAAATATACAAAACCAAAATGTTATGGGTATTCTAATTTTTTGGCACATTTTTCATTAAAGAAATTGCAAATTTATGGCTTTGTAACCATTTTGAAAAAAAATTGTGAATATTTGGTATTGTTTATATCTGTTAATTATATTTGTTCAGCATCTACCTTGTTTAAAGAAACTTTAAACCACAAAAAGAAGAATATATGCTTAATTAGTTTATTCAATTTAAAATTCTTTAACTTGACATGCTGAAAAATCTAATAAATGGTCAACTAATGAATTATGAAATCTAGGTGAAGAAAAATTTGTACCGTTTATGTTATTGTAGCTTGATAAAAGATATGAAAACACCTTTAGAGTTGTTTGTCATACTCTAAAGACGGCTAAAATATAAAAAATCTAATAGATTCTGTTGAATAAAAGCGGTAAAGTTATAATTTTGTATCATTTTTTTTTATATTTCTGCCTTTTTTGCAGAGTTATCTCCATTAGGTCCGAGTACACAGTTATCGTCCTTTGATTTTCGTTGTCCCTAGTGTGGACAGTGTGTTACTTGCCATTTTTTTTTTAAACCCTTCCAAATTTATTTCTCCATGTTTTATGCCTCAAATAGCAAGTAGGGGGATGAAATTACACTGTAAAAAAATTTGGGTCATGAATTTTAAAGTAAAGTAGTGATTTGGTCCAGCTGAAAAAGGTTAAAAATAAGCACTTCGGAAGCTGTCAAAAGATTTCAAGACCCCCTTAACATAAAATTGTCCATATTTTGAGTTAAAGCCGATGAAGTTTTCTATAATTTTGATATAATTTGTCCCAAAAGTATTACAACACACTGTAAAAATATTATTGAGAAAGCGCAGGTGGGATTTTTTTAATTTTCATTTATTGTCTAAAAGAAATGCACTACGAAATAACTGTGTACTCGGACCTAACAGGTGAAATCAGGAAATATAGAATCTGTACTTTGCAAACTTCCCTGATTGATTTGATGTTGTCAATTTGTCAAATAGCATGAAACTAAAGGATTTAAACTTTTATTTGATAGAATTTCTGCAAAAATTACCAATTTTGGCATTATATGGTCAAAATAAGCATTTCATAGCTTTTTCAATTTTGATGCATAAGTGGCATTCTGACATTCTATCTGACAGGTTTTCATGTGTCAATATTTGTGTTTCTATGCTTTAATCCAGTTGTATTACTCATTTGTGAACTCTGAATCTCCAGAAAAGAAGATTACCTCAGACAATATGTGCAAAATGTGTTGTATAAATTACCCTCGTCTAACGCCCTGTTTGGATCAAATTAAATGTGAGGAGCTTGGTACATAAAAGTTGAAGTCCATAATAAAGACCTCACTAAATTTGTATAAAAAGCACTTAACAATGTCTTTTGTACCTGTTTCATTTCACATAATATCTTTCTTTTTATCTGTAGGATAGCAAGTGGTTCAAATATAAGCCTGTTGAGACTAAAATTGCCTGCAAGTTTTTCACTAAAAAGTGAAAAATCTTTGTATCTGACCATACTGTCTGCAAAAAAAGTTGAATGCAAGAGTCTTTTTGTGCTCAGATTTATTGTATCATGTCACCTGAGTATAGAAATGATAGAAAAGACACATATTTTTATTTCCTATAGCTTCAATATGCATTTTTAAATGTAAATATGTGCTACGGCCTAAATTGACACTAAATTATTTCAGTCTTACTTGGCCTAAGACCCTTTTATACTAATATGATATGTTATTTGTAAGTTTTCTTTCCATTTAAAGTAC